TGGGGGAAAAAAGCGGATTTGGAGGAAATCGGAACCGTTAGATGACCGGTTCCCGATTTTCCGGTCCGACCGTCCGATTCGGTCTGGTTTTGAAAACATTGGGAATGACCATTCCCCTATATGGGGACCCTCGAGAATGGGAATTAGACCTCTGTTCCTAGCTTCCTACCAAACAAATAATAGGAATCGAAATGGGCAAATTCTGATTCCAAGCACTTATTCCTAAAAAAACTAAATGGACCTTAAATATCTTTAAATTATTTTGGCTTTATCTAATAAAATAGGGGTATTAATTAGATGGATTGGGCCAGGGGCCAACCTTTATGCCAAAAAAAGTTAAGGGCCAACCCATAATATGAACCCTTGCTTTGACCCAAACTATTGTTAAAACCCAATTTTGCCCATTAATACATGGGGTAACCAATTTTCTCAACCCTAACCTTGATGGCAGTGTATACCAACACAACTAAAGCCACCATCATTTGGTTCTCATGCTAAGGTGTTGTTTGGTATGACTTTCGTTTATTTGAAAAATGTTTGTATTTGATTTATCTTCAAAATCCATAAAAAAGCAATTGATAAATGTTTGAAAATTCCATTTTAGTACCCTAAACTTTGAGGGCAGTGTCAAGTTAGTACCCGAACTTTCAAACATGTCGTTGCAGTACCTAAACTTTTAAAAAGTGTCAAGTTGGTCTCTGCCATTAACCAACCGTTAGTTATCTATTGAAAATGTCAAAAACTACCCTTCAAAAGAAGACAATGTTCATTGTCTTCTACCTTTAGATCTGAAGCACATTCTTGTCTAGTTATTTCTTTGCTTTCAGTAATTGTTTCCCTCTATCATACTTCATGTTTTTTCTCTCTTTTTCTTTGAAGATAAATGGTTCAGTCTCAATGTAGAATACAATAAACAATGTCTTCTTTAGAATGGTAGTTTTGACATTTTTAGCAAATAACTGATGGTCGATTAATGGCAATGACCAACTTGACACTTTTTGAAAGTTTAGGTACTGCAATGAAACATTTGAAAGTTCAAGTACTAACTCAACACTACTCCCAAAGTTCAGGGTACTAAAGTTGAATTTTCCCTAATGTTTTTCTACTATTGTTTGACAGTTAGGTGTCATTAAACGCCATTAAGTGCTACATACGCATAACAGTAAATAAACACCTTGTTGTTGGAGAGAAACGTTAAAATGAATCTTCCCCCAAGGGTTAGCTTACACATAAACCAAGACGAATATTTATTTGATAAACAAACATACCAAATAGCATTTTGGGACAAACACCCACATGGTGATGAGTTGGCACTGCTTTTTCAAATAAACGGAAGCCATACCAAACACCATCCAAGTAATTGATTTATGTAAATACAATTCTCATGTATAAGTGTGTTTTTCATAAGTTTAAAGCACAATAAATCTAACTAAAAATAAAGGAAAAGTATTTTATATTGTAAATAACTAAAAGTATATAAAAACTCAACAAATTATTATTTCTTCATTTTTACTTTAAAAATACATTTTTAAGAAGTAATACGTGCATCACACGGGCCACTACCAGTAATAATGTAATGTTTTCTTTTTTCTTTTTTGTAATAAGTAATAGGGAAAATTCTTGACTAATGCCCTACTTTGGGTCTAGTGTCACTTTGGTCCTTGAACTTTAAAATGCGACAGTTCAGTACCCAAACTTTCAAAAAGTGTCAATCCAGTACCTACTGTTAACTAGTCCGTTAACCAACCGTTAAGTGCCATTTGAAAACACACAAATGCCCTTTGAGTGTCATCTAATTCTCTTTATCAACCATCCAACCGTTGATACTTGTATTCAAGAGATGTAATCCTTGCCTTGCCATGTCAGTATGTCCCTCCTCTGAGATAAGCTATTTATCTATTTTATCACTTTTTTTTTTCATTTTCTCTATTTTATTTTGTTTTATAAATATAAAAAATAATCATTGTCTATTTTGATTGGATCAATAAAGCTATGCACTTTTTTACACACACGAGCGCGCATGCGCGCACGCACGCACGCGCATACACACACACATTTGGGTTTACCAAGGCCTCTTGTTTTAATGCATGTTATTATTACATTTGTGTGTGTGTGTGTGTGTGTGTGTGTATGTGTGTGTGTGTGAGAGAGAGAGAGAGAGAGAGAGAGAGAGAGAGAGAATAGTAATAATATAAATAGTTTGAGGTTAAACAATCAAAAAATCACTAATTTAAAAATCTACTAAACTTTCACTTAAAATAAATATTAACAAAACTTAGTACATATTAAAAATGTGTTTCAAATCCACTTAAAAACCAAACTTAATAAATGCTAATCAAAATAAGAAATTTAAATATAAAAATATTAATCAATAGTTTTAATAATATTATAAGATAACTTATGAGTTGAGACCTTTATTGTGCATAATGAAATAATGAAAAATGATAAAAAATTAAAATGCATAACTTGTTTTATTAAAAGTATTTTATTGCAAAAATTACTGAGTAATAATGAAAAATACCAACAATTAATTAAAAATCTAGAAAATTCTGAAAAAGCATAAATATAATTAAAATACTGAAAATAATTAAAAAGGGTATTTATTGAAAAATTATTGAAAAGCACTCATATGCAAAAATTACTGAATAATAATAAATAATACCAAAAATTAATTAAACATCCAAAAGTTCTAAAAAACCTAAGACTTAATTAAAATACTAAAAATAATTTTAAAATTAAATTAATTGTATTTTATTGAAAAATACTGAATAATAATGAAAACATAATGTATTTTAATTATTAACAGTAATATAATTAACAAGAATTATATTTAAACTGTAATTAACAGTAATTATAATTTAAGCTATAAATAGCAGAAAATTACATTTAATTAGTTTTAGCTAAGAAATCAGCAATATTTCTGAAAATATGATAGTATACAGATATTTCTATATTTTAAATAAATACAGTAATTTAATAGTTATAATATTTTAATAGATAGCAATATTTTAATAATTATAGTATTTTTTTAATAATTAATTGTATTTTAATAAATTCAATTTTATTAAAAATTTAATAAATAATGTATTTATTAATTAATCAACAATATTTATTAAAAATAGTGTATTTATTAATTAATATTAAAATAATAGTTATAGTACTTTTAATAATTAACAGTATTTTAACAAATACAATATTTATTAATTAATAGTATTTAATTAATTAGACATATATTCAATAAATTCAGTGTTTTAATAATTAGCAGTATTTTAATAAATACATTATTTATTAAAAATAATATTTTATTATAGTATTAATAATAATTATAGTGTTTTTTAAATAATTAACTGTATTTATTAAAATATTTTATTTATTAATAAATACAATATTAAAGCGGTTCTAGTTCGTCTAGAAACCTATAACGTTCAATCTATATATAATTTGAAGCCTAATAACTATAATTAAAAAAATTACTAAAGTTAATTAAAATATTAAAATTTAGGAAGTTTTTTATCTAGCAATCATTAAAAGTTATGAACTTTAATAAAAGTTAATTAGTAGTTATGAATTTAAAAAATTGAAATATAATTTAATAGGATAATTAAAATAAGTATAAAAAGTAAAAGATTATGAGAAATAAAAATGAAACCATTTGCATAATGTCATATGACTCCTACTTAGGGATGATCATTTATAACTTAGATCAACCTTGGGCTCAATCAAGTATTTTGTTCTAAGCTAGGTTTAGCTTAGACCAACACCAAGCCAGGGTATAAATTATTGATAGGATAATTAAATTTTAATAGGTTTATTAGGGGTGAGCACCATTCGATTGATATCGAAAACCAAACCGAAAATTTTGGTTTATGTTTTCTTTTTGGTTTGGTTTTTTGATTTTTGGTTAAATTAGTTATCGGTCTTAGTTTTCAGGATTAGAAATTCATTTAAGCAAATTAACCAAGTTTTCTATTATTATATGTAATATATGATATATAATATGTAAGACATAATATATAATATGTAACATATAATATATAATATATTATATATTAATATATAATATAATGAAATTTGATTTCATAATATATAATATATATTATATGTTATAATATAGATAATAGAGTACATATTATTAAAATTTGGTTTTAATTGAAATAACAAAAAACGAAACAAAAAAATTTTGGTTTTGGTTTTGGTTTTGGTTTTTTTTTTAATTTTGATTTATTTGGTTTGATTTTTAATTGAATAAACCAAATGCTCACCACTAGGTTTTATCTAGAAACTATTAAAAATTAGTTTTGATATGATAATCAAAATTAATAATAAAAAGTAATAAATCAATTATAACTTAAGATAACCTAATTAGATCTATAAATCTACAGGCTTAAGCAGCTATTTTTTTTTGAGTTAGGTCTAGCCGAGATATTCACCAAGTCTGCACATTATCAAGGATTATCAGATTTGAAGTCTAATTGGTTATCAAAATTTTGGAGTCCAGCGATGGCTTTAGCAGATATGGCCCAAGTTAAACAACCCCTAATAAGCTCAAATTAGAATTTATATGTATATGTGGTAAATGTTATTATATAATATTTAGATAACAAATTTTATATTAAGATATAATTAAATAAACATTTTAATTTGTAAAAAACAATAGTTTTATAATTAACACGGGCAATCCTATAAGCCTATACAAAAATTGAAACATTTAATCATTAATAAAATAAAAAAATAAAATAGAACACTAACAAATAGTGTGGAAAAATAATTATTTTATTAAGTAATTAACAATAATTATTAGATTTTGACTTTTTGCTAAAAATATTAATATCCAAATTACTAAAACATTTTTGTAATAAATTATTAAAATAAAATTTTGATTATTTTAACAACATTGCATTACAACTTTACAAGTATGAATTATTTCACTTTCCTTATAAATCCCGTGCATCGCACGGATCCTCGCCAGTAATAATGTAATATCGGATCGTATAAGCTTTGGCTTGAATTCTGTGCTAGGCGCGAGGCGGGGCGTCTTTTTCTGTGGTACAGCGTGGAGGCTTATCGGTTACCCAGCCGGAAAAACGGAACAATGCTTGCTAACGAATTATTTCTAGAGTGAGATTAAATCGAAAAAACCTCGTTCAGAAACTGTCCCACTCCTCCACTGCGTGCCGGTCCGAGAATTTCTAGGGCGAAAAAATGCTAACCAAGACGGTGTTTGCACGTTCTTCCCTGTAAGCAAGCGTTGCTACGTAACCCTCTCTACCGTTTAATGCGTATTTTTTGTTAATATTTACGTTTACGTCTTTAAATTAACAGGTTGAGTACTTAGAGGGTTTTAGTTCCAGACTTAGGGTTTTAGTTCTGGTTCCCATTTTCAGTTAGCTTTGTTGTAACTAAGAATTATCGTATTCGTGGAAATAACGTAAGAAAAATTTTCATTGAACTTCATCTATTGCAGATGCCCTGGTCAATCATTAGCTTGCAGTTTTCAAATATGTAATCAATTATTGTTTCCCTGTAGTTCGAAAATTCGATTCATTGGAGGTAAGTTCTCACCTTAGCTCTGCAATTGGAGTATCACACTGATAAATTCAACTAGTTAACTCGTTTGTTGCATTGCATCCCACTGATTTGGGATTTATTTTCCTTGTTATTTGAAGAATGAACTACTATCGATTTCATCTATCATTGTCTCCTGTATGTTTTAAAGGGTTATTGACGGAACAAATTGTCAATGGTTAAAACACCAAATCATGGGAGACGCGTAAGTTCAACAAATATGGAAAAGATTCCACCAAAAATGTTGACCTGAATGTAGAGATATTTAATTGATAAAAAATGTAGAGTTATTCAATAAAATATTTTCTTAAAATAGGAAAGAAGGTTCATTATTAATTGTTTGAGGCATATTGCCGTCAAGAGGTGCTATCACCTCCTCTTAATTTGAGCCCGTCACCTTGGGCTTCCAGTGGCTAACTCTCAGGGCACAATAGTTGTTGTCCTCAATGAAATCAGCACATGTAATCCATTGGACCAGTGAGCTTGCAATGTTTGGATTAGCTGATTAAGAAGATTCAAGGAAGTAAAACAAATAAAGAGATATTAAAGAAGTATAACGAATTCTTTTTTCTCAGTTGTTTTGTGTTATTCTGGAGAGGATCACAGCTTTTTTAAGTCTTAAGTAGGATATTTAGCAGAACATTTTGTACTCAACTAACCCCATGATGAGTTGTGAAAATAACCTGAAATCGATGTAATATTAAAAGGAAAAAAAGGAGAGGATTAGCAAAGAACAGTACAAAGAGAAACAAAGAGAACAAAGAATAGAGTTTGGTGCAGTCAGAGTTTGATATCCTCCTATCTGCAACCCAACTTATTTTATAATATAATAGAAAATGAATGTACAAAATTACCCCTATTTATGTATTGTGAAGACAAATAACCCTGCTGCTTATAATTCTAACCTCCCCTTCAAGCTGCAACATAAATATCATAAAATTCCATCTTGTTACAAATGTAATCCATCCTTGAGCGGCTTAGACTTTTGGTGAAGAGATCAGCTAATTAGTCCTCTAACTTGACAAACAGGGTAACAACATCACCACATGCAACTTTTTCTCACAGAGTGGTAGTTAACCTTTAGTTCTTTTGTGAAAAATTGGTTTGGAAGCAATATGTATAGCAGCTTGATTGTCATAGAACAACTTTATGGGCATAGGCATAGGCACTTCAAATCTCCAATCTCCTTGAGGAGGTGCTTTAACTAGATTAGTTCATAAGTTGTATGCATCATTGCCCTGTACTCAGCCTTTGCATTGCTTCTTACAACCACACTTTGCTTCTTACTCTTCCAAGTGATCAGATTCCCACCTAGGAAAGTGTAATAACCTGTGGTGGACCTCCCATCTATTGAGGAATACCCTTCTATACGAAATATTTACTCATGGGTGGGGCAAGCTCTTCTATTCTGGTTCATGGTTTCTCTTGGCTATATGGTTCATCHGGGGGAGAGATCGAGCTTCAAGAAATAGTGAATGGTCTTATCAATACACAAATGTATAACTCCCCA